GTGTGTGTGTGTGTGTGTGTGTGTGTGTGTTCACTACAGTGTGTGTGCACTTGGATGGGTTAAATGCAGAGCACAGATTCCAAGTATGGGACACCATACTTGGCCACACGTCACTTCACTTTCACGTTCACTTAAATATTAATATAATAAATGATTAATCAAGGAACAAAAAAACAAAATGGAAATAGATTTGAAGACAGATTGGCATGAGATTAACACATGGCAGAGTTTTAGCAGTTTTCTCCTTCAGTCCACATCAGACTCAGCTCTACTCCAGCAGCTCAGTTTAAAGCACACTGTTCCTCCAGCCTTGCGGCGACTGTGTCTAAACAATAAACAAGTCCTTGGATTAGACCTCCATCACTCCCTACAGTCACAGCAGCTCTCAAACCCACCGACAGAAACGTCCCCTCAGTGCAACAGGAGGACAAACACATGAATGATGCATTATTCATTCTGTATTCCTTCCTACTTCACAACAAACACACACTGTGTGTCCCGGAGAGAAAATAAGGACATCATGCATCTCAGACATGAGATCTGGACACTGAAAGCAAGTGTTTCCAAACCGAATAAAAACAGAAACAGAGTAAAAAGCAGCAAGGACAGCAGAGACGGACTGGATAAAATGGAGGCCAAATGTAGTGATGCAGAGACTCACAACAGGACTGACCGAATGTTACACTAATGACCAGAGAAAATACACTGAGACTTTACCAACTTACTGAAAGACTCCTGAAAATCTGCCCTGAAATAAACTCGGATCATTGGGATTGAGCAACCTTCCTTTATTGACGTAAATACACAGACACCACCAGTCAACACAAGTTAAATACTGACTGGTTCTGTCATGACTGCTTCAGATCACGAGGTAGAATTTTTTCTGATCTTCAAACTTTCTTCAAATAAGTTGTTTTGCACAATTGTTTTCTAAAACATTTGGTGTGATTGTAATGGCAGCAGTATTGTGAACATAGATATTTGTTATTAAAAATAATAATAAAAAAGTATTTTCCTTAGTAGAAAATTAATTAAAGGGGTCATATGATGTTGCTAAAAAGAACATTATTTTGTGTATTTGGTGTAATGAAATGTGTTTATGCGGTTTAAGGTTCAAAAAACAC